TCAACCTAAGGACCCAACAACAAGAGTAGATTAGGATTCTTATTTCATTTGTATCGCATATTTTGTTTTATAATGTTTTTAATTTTTAATATATTTTTAATATATTTTTCATATATTTTTATAATATTTTATTCTTTTTTAAAAAAAAAAATAGAAACGACGCTAAATCGATGCTATTTAGCGTCGAATTAGCGTCGAACTTGTCGAAAGCGACGACGCTAATTCGACGCTAAATAGCATCGATTTAGCGTCGTTTTGTTGCATCGAAACACTGTGACGCTAAATCGATGCTATTTAGCATCGATTTAGCGTCGATTTGTTGCATCGAAACACTGTGACGCTAAATCGATGCTATTTAACATCGATTTAGCGTCGATTTTGCGTCGTAATTAGTTGCGACGCAAAATTAGCGTCAAAAATTAATTAGCGTCGAAAATGATTTCGACGCTAATTCGACGCTATGGGCTTTTAGCGTCGAATTACGCTGACGCTAAATGTCTGTTTTCTTGTAGTGACACCTTGAGCATATAGTAATTACGAAAAAAATTTGGAAAACCGGGTAACAAAAAAAAGAGCAAACTGATATATGTTAAAGTAAATGGAGTTTTTATGTAATAATGGCGAAATTGAGTTAGTCAGTCCTTCGCGTAACGGCTCGATTGGGGCAAATCCGTAAGAGTTGTAAGATTATAAGTGTTTAGTTTATAAAGTTGTCAAAGTGGGTGAGTCGATCACAATAAAACCTGAAGCTTGGTGTCGGTGAGTCGAGGACCACAATAAACCTCATGGGAATTGAAAATCAATTTGATATGAACGTTGGCTTTTTTTTTTGAATTACAGGAGCTTGCGGATCAAATCCTGTAATTGTTGGCTCTTTTCACTCTTAAAGATCGTCGTCTTTCTCAAATGATGTTGCAGACTTGTATCCCTTGCTTGATTTCAAAATTGTTACGTTGACGGATGTCCATGAGGTTGTCGAATAAAGCCAAGACTCGCCAACACTTGTATCCTTGTTTGGGTTTTCAGGCGAAAAAGCGGCTGAGAGTTTTGGATTTTGGTGAATCGATGTGTCCAGGCCCGGTCCATTGGTCTTATAGATATTGTGCCAAAAAAAAACAATTAGAAATTTTGGAGTTTTTTTGTAAAACTGACAAAAATTTAGGGTTCTTTTTAGCAATTTTACAAAAATTTAGGACTTTTTTGTAAAATAAAATCAGCAGAATTGTGCAAAAGCACTGCTTGCACAGCCCATGGGCCGGGCCTCGATGTGTCCATGAGGTTGTCTCTAAGCTTCCGTCGGATCTCGCCATTACCCTTTTTATCGTGTCGTGTTTTGTTGATTTCGTTGTGGTTTCTGTCACGACGATGCTTTGGCGTTTCCTCTGTTTATCGCTACATGACAAGCGATGGGTTTCATTCGTTTAGGGTTTGGTTGAAGAAAACTTATCTTCACGTGGAAAGGATAATTATATTTTCTTGTAATTAGGTCTTCCTACCATACTTACTGTTTCTTTGATGCTTGATTATTGAATTAAGTCTTGTTCACTTTCTTGATTGCTTAAGATTTGTTGTAATTAGGAAACAATAACATCTGTAGCTTTCCCTTTCTTGATTCCTAATGGTAGGTTCCAACGGAAACTTGAAGTTAATCCAGTATCTTTCTTGTTCTTGCAGCGGCCATTTTTTTGTTCCTTCAATGTGTGTCAATGGAGGTCTCAGGTAGTAAGCGACGGATGCCCAAGCCAACTTTTGCAAAGACGCTTCGAGTTGTTATTCAGAGAGCTGAAAAAACCAAGTTTCCTTATGTGGTGAGAAATATAGTACCAATATTCGTTTGTTTAATTAGAAATATGGTAATATGCTTTTGAAATTGGTTTGTCCTTGCAAAGATTCTTCACGTTGTCACTCAAAGAGTAAAAGTATCTTATTACTTCTTTTGTAATCTGATTTTATGTGCTTCCCGTAATTATAAAACCAGAAAATTGCTGAATGATAATCTTAGAAGAATCTGGGAGATTTTGACTGTGATGGAAAAGGGGTTTATGGAACTGGAATACGTTAGGTGTGATCTTATTAGTATGCCATGCACATGTGTCTTCTGCATTTTTGTTATTTTCTCACAGTAGTGCTCACACTTTGATGATGCATTTTCTCTTATTAGCAAGACTTCATCTTGTTCAGTGCTTATGTAACTTGTCTGTTCTAATGTCTCTGGTGTGCTATATCCTTTGCTTTCTATGGCTAAAACCCTCTTTACACATGTACATGATATTTTGAGCAACACACCTACCTTTCAGTCAGTATGGGACCATACTCCGCCATCTTTTGGAAAGGAGGGAGCATTGTTTCCAAATGAGGAAGCGTACACATTCCAGTGAGTTTTCTACAAATCTAAATATTCCAATTGTCTAGTCTTGTCATAGATAGTGTATGTTGGAGTTGGATATTTATTAAATATAGTGTTTTCTGCAAGGTCTGCTATACAGTGAAAGGGCGGAAGCAGGGTTGTGCGAGAAAAACGGTGGTCAACATAGCCAGAAGGAAGAGGGTTTTTGTTATATCCTTCTTGAGTCACTTTCAAAAACAATGTTATGATTCAACATTATTTGGCAATTTATGGTTTTATTCTTGTTATCCTATTCCTGGGACAATTCTTGATGACTAACTTGATCAAAATACCGTATTCCCATAACACAGTAATAGCTACAAATTGCAGGTGTGATGCTGCTCCTGTAACAGTGGACTGCTTTTAGGTAATATATTGGTAACCTCCTCAAGGGAGAAATTTGTCATCATTATTCTTATGCACCTTGTTTATCACAGTGAGAACATAGAGTTGCAAGCAATATTTTACTCATTTTTTCTTGAGTTCTTAAAATCGTTTTGAGTTTACAATCAGTAGGTGCATATTGTGTTAACATCATAGTCACTACTGGGAGAAACGCATGCTGTTTTTATGCACTATTTCAGCTATAGATCCTTGTCACAGGTATTTTTCTCATGTTATTGTTACTGTTTTTGATGTATTGAAAACGTTCTTCTACTTATCTGGCCATTTTCCTACTAGGGAATTAATCATTTCTGCACTTGACAATCTATCAGCACAACTTCATTACCAATCTAGGCTCAAGGCGTGATTATTGATTTTCGTTTCTTTATCTCTTCCATACCTGTATGAAATGTTCTCATTTTAGCATTCTATACTTCCGCTAAGTTGATTGTGTTTTGGCTGCAGGAATTCTACAAAACGGCGTAAAGGAGCACAACTAGCATTTTAGTACTTGCTGTCTCTTAGCTATTAAATTGATGTACTTGGCTGGAGCTAGCACTTCTTGTGCTCTTATTGAATGTCTTGTGTGGCTTTGTTTCTTTTTGTCAAAACACCTATGCTTAATCTTGTGTCTTGGACCTACCTGTTAGCTTTAAGACTATATACTTAATCTTGTTATCTTCACATTTTCCAGTACGTCTTTGCAGGAGGATTAGGACTTTATTATTCGAGTTTAAGTGGATAAATTCTCTTGGACTCTCTGAGAATTCTCTTACTCTACATTAAACTAAATGATACGTCTTTGTATATATGCTTTTGTCTTTGGTTTATCCGGTACCATTTTGTAAGGTTTTGATCAAAGTTCATTTGAAACTGATATGGTGTATTGACATATTTGGAAAATCATTAATCAGAGCTTCTGTTTAGCCAGTTGTTTCTAACCATTCATAGTGCATCTTTTTGCATTTTTTCTCCTTATGTTTCTCTTCAGGTTTTAGCAGCTCTTGGGACAGAGTACTTTGAGGATGTACTTCCTAATATTATTCGTCATTGTTCTCATAAAAAAGCATTGGTCCGCAATGGATACCTTACACCTTTGATGGTGAACTTATTCGCTCTTCAGATGTTGCTCAAACTTCACTTTTGTAAAAAAATTCTTAAAGCTTTTGGTTTTTAATTGCAGTTCTTACCAAGATCCTTGGGTGCTCAGTTCCAATACTTGCAGCTTGCGTTACCTGTCATTCTGGATGGTGATCCAATCACTTTTTTTGGCTACTTTTAATTTCTAATCTAGCTTTAAGAATAGATTGCTGTTGACTAAATTGCTGTTGCGCTAATGCTTGACTAGGTCTTGCCAATGAGAACGAATCTGTTTGCAATGCAGCCCTGGATGCTGGTCATGTACTGGTGGAGCACCATGCAATACAGTATTTACTTATACATGCAATATGTTTTTCTTGTTCTTTACCCTATAGTCCAGTATTTACTTGATAATCATTGTCATCATCCTCCTAGCCTGTTATATAGATCTTGCAATACTTGTTTTTAGCGTATATGCATTAATGAAATAATGTGTTATTATTTTCAGAAAATAAGGGAAAATGAAGCTAGCTCCAAGAAAATGTTGATATGTTATAAATAGGTGCCATGCCTTAATATTTAATATTTGGAACTTTTGTACTAGGTTGCTGGTACGGCAGGTAAAGCTCTGCTGGAGGGTGAAAGTGATGATGAAGGTGCCAAGTACTGAAACGCAGGGTCGTGCAATTATCCATATTTTAGGAGTGGACATGCGCAATGAAGTTCTTGCCGTGTTATATATGTTCCGGACTGAAGCCAGCTTGTCTGTTTGTCAGGTAATGTTGTTAGTGACCTACTTGTACTCAATGTGTTTAAATCAGTCACAGTCAGACCCTAAGTCCTACACTAGATCTTTTATGCAATAAAGTTTATTGGATCGTTTCACGTTAGGGTATTTGGTCTAAAGTGTTCATCAAGCTATTTTACAGACTTGGTGACAGTGTTTCAAGCTCAATACATAAACAAGAGAAACGAAACAGACTTTGTGAATGAAACTAAATAAAAGCAAAATACGAAAACAAAGATGCAGCTCTCATAAAGAATTCTGCTATAAGTTCCAACTCTACCCAAATTAGAATAACGTACATGTACTTCCATTATTGAGTTATATGAACACAACATCATAAAGGTATGTTTGTTTTTGTAGCTGTACAAAAAGTTTCATGGTAAAGGTTTTTGTCATTATTTGCTTTTAAAGGTTTGGATTATGAGGAAACACAAAGGTTTAATTGTAAAATCTAGTTCATCCCCTAATGTTTGTAAAGGCATGTACTTGTTCATCTCGTCTTTGGAACATGTTATCAAGAAAACATTTAACCATTATTAGCTACTTGAATTGGTATAGAAATGCTTTCGTTGTAGAGGATTCATTTCAGTTTAGAGTTGGAAAGAAAGGATTTCTCACATCAAAAGACTCCTATTCACAAAACCCATGGAAGCTTCGAGACAAGAATTCACCATATAGCCGTGTTGCAACTCCATAAGTGTTACCCAGCTAAGTATATAGTTTCACGAGATGACAACTTAGCAAAGCTATGATATGTGAGTTTGTTTGAAGACAAAACCAAAAACAAGGCTTATGAGAGGTCAGTTGTCATCATATGAAATGTGAGCGCTGGTGACACAGCCCGGTGCATTAGGATCCTCTGCCCCGCAACAATCGTAGAACTTGGCTGCATACGGTGGATCCTCAGGTCCCAATTCATAGTACCTTCATTTGTGGATAACATGTATATTTCAAGACCAAGAAGACGAGAAATAAACAAATGATGAGATGATATTCTCTAATCGATGACAATAACCTTGGCCTAAATAATTTCTCTATGTAGCAGAAGAAAATGTTTGAAATTATGATTATGTGGCTATGTCATTTAAACTTGTAATCAGGCATTAGAGATCTGGTATTTTGGGCAAGCAGATAGATTAGCAAACCAGAATTTGATCAGAAATCAAAGAATCAAGAAGAGAACAACCTTTTCTGGTCATCGTGGCGACGACAAACGAACAAGGAAGGATGAAAACGACAAGAGGAAGCGTCGTTTGAAGAATCTGTGAAGCATCGCTTGCACCTCTGGCACAACATCTGATCCTTCCTAGTCTTTCTCTCCATTGACAAGAGCAAGAGGAAGAGGAAGAGGAAGCGTCGTTTGAAGAATTTCAATGCAACTCAAACCGACCCGATTCCGGTTAAGAGTCCGCAAGTCTTTTGTTTGATGATCGGTTTTGAG